TGATTATTCCACATCTGCATGGACAATAACAAGTTGAGATTTCCTTTCCCGCTCTCTAAGTTTTGTCTGGCGGGCAGGGAAGTCTCTTTGGACACTTTGATTGAATCACAAAGGGACAAGGCTGACCCCAGGGGTCCCTGTTTGTTCCTTTCTCAAAATCCATCAGAAAACACACCTTATCAGATCTAAAGCAGGAAAACCTTTTTTAATGAAATCAACCTTTGCTGGCCAAAACAATGCCCCTCTTCCGTCCTGCCTCCCTCTCCCTGATTTGCTAAGGAGCCGAAGAGGGAGGGAGTTTTGAAACTTTCAAACCTGTATTTTGCCTATAAAATGCCTGTAACTCTTGTATTGGTATGCTTGTAGTGGAACTATTCCTACAATGCATCCAATCTCAGCTGAATCGCTAATAAAGACACCTCGGTCCCAGCTTCTTCCGCTTTGGTGGGGATTTATTATTTTAATATTTTCGCTACTGGAATTGACTTTGCTGCCCTCACCAAGGTTCCAGGACCCTCTTTGGTGCGGTCTTCGGGATCTCCTCGGCTGGGGAGATCCTCCTAAAAGCGGCTCTATATCATGCCTATAGTGGTTGCAAACAGAAATCGTTTAAAATATTAGAGCACAATGCTCACTGTCCACCATTTTTCCCTATCCTATCCAAATCAGATTTTAATTCAGCAGTCAGGGTGCTCTCTCTTATCTCTCTCATTCCCTCCTGACGTTTCGTTCTCCTTTCACTGTCACCTTGACTGCTGCCAGACTAGCATCTTTGGCCTAAAACCAATTTCTAGTCTCAACTAGAATAGACACAGAGAATCAATGTGATTTACATATGTGTGTTTTCAAGGAATCTCTAGCATTCTCAAACATGCCAATTTGCTACTGGGCACAATTCAAAGTGCTGGCTTTAGCCTATAAAGCCCTAAACGGTTCCAACCCAGCTTATCTATCCAAATGCATCTCCCCTTATGAACCCTCCAGGAACTTGAGATCGTCTGAGGAAGGCCTCCTCTCGATCCTGCCTGCTTCACAAGCACATTTGGCGGGGATGAGAGACAGGGTCTTCTCTGTGGTGGCCCCTCAGCTGTGGAACTCCCTGCCTAGGGATATTAGATCAGCCCCCTCCCTCCTGGCCTTTCAAAAAAGAGTGAAAACCTGGTTCTTTGAGCAAGCGTTTGGAACCACAGCATGATCAGAAAGACTTTAAAGAAGAGCTTTCCAAACTATGTGTTGCCCATAGTCTCCAGGTGTGTCATGTGAAATGTGCTGCCCCCCACCCCGACAAACAAAGGCTGCATGGCCAGAATGGCTAGGCATCCAACCTTGAATAGGCTTGGCAGCCACTTAGAGAGGAGGTGGGGTGTTCACTGCCCCTTTAGGAGGAGGAGGAGGAGATGGTGGCAGCAGGCGCGATGGTGGCAGTGGCCTCTCAGGAGGCGCCAAACCCAAGGCCCCGCCACCCTCCTCCTCCTTGTCGTCTTTAGCCATGGGGTTTGGCCCGCCTCTGTCTGCCCCCTCTTTATATTGGCACTGCCCAAACTCCGGGAACATACAAACACATTAAAATGATACCTGGTTTTTTGTTCCATAGGGAATGGCATATTGTTTGCCTGAGAGTGTGTGGATCTTTCTTGCCCTCATGGGGATGCCTTTAGACACAATCTGAAATCCAAAAAGAGCCAGTTGGGTTGTCTTAAAACGAATATCCTAAAGAATAGGACTTCTTTAAGAAGAGCAAGCAAGAAGGTAGTTATAAAAACATCCAAAGCAGAGATGGGGAAAGTGTGGCCCTAGATAGTCCCCAAACTTCTCAGAATGCTCTCAACTTCTGCCTATGCAATGTAGAAGATAATTTTGGTCATTCAGACTTTTCCAACAGAATCTAGAAGTATATTTTGGGTCAATTTATATTGAAACAAAGGCCACTTCTAAATCTCAGGTAGCCGAAATAAGATAAAAAATGTGATGAAATTGTCCCTATCAAGGGATACTTGGGTGTGATGGTATATGTGTGGCCCTCAAAATCTATTTCCATGCATACCCTTAGTAGCGCAAAAAACTATGGTTTTGAAATTTGATGAATAAATACCATCTTAAATGCCCTTGCTTGAAAGGGTCTTTGAGTGAAATTTGCAAATGCTAAGCAAAGGACTTTGAATGAAATTAACAGCAAAAGAGAAATATACCCTTTCTCTGTTGAAAAGGAGCAACACAGAAGAAAATGTTTTTAAGAAACAAGATGTGACATGTAGAGGCCGGAAGTTGTGTTGTGGTTAAGTTCAAAGGTGTGGTTAAGCGCAGAGTCTGCAGGTACAAGAAGGTACTTTCCATCAAAAGGTCAAGGGAGATGGGGCTGGAAAGAGAGTACTTTCCATGACCTATTACTTGAGTATAAAAGTCAGCAGAAAAAGAGGAGGGGTGCGGCAGTCACTTGAAGGGTAGCATCTGCGTATGCTGCCAGGCTGTCCATCTTCTTCATGAAGAAACTAAAATAAACCTTGTTTTTTTATCTTTTTTGGGACTGTCTTCTTCTTTATGTGTTCCCATGATGTGGACCGAAGACCCAATTTAGGGTCTCTAACATTGCACTTTCTATATGGTTATGAAGAAAGGAGAACATGGTAGTGGTTGATGCCATATTTTCTATTCTGGTGTGAACCTGGGAGGCCATGGGCCTATCTAGTCCTCTGTTTGTAACAATGATCCAAGAGATAATTGGGTCAGGAGTTTATCATGCAAGATAGCCAAATCGTCATAGCAGCAGGGCAACAGTTTCTTTGCCTTGGATTTATTATGAAGTTGTTCCTTATCGGCCACTCTCCTGGTGGGAGGACATCGGAAGATTTTCTTCTGCAAAAGAAGGTCATTCATTGTTTATGTTTGTAACATAAACACTTTCCAGGCCTCACAACCTCTGAGGATGCTTACCATAGATGCAGGCGAAACGTCAGGAGAGAATGCTTCTAGAACATGGCCATATAGCCCGAAAAATCTACAACAACACAGCTTTCCAGGTCATTTCCCACCAGGAAAGTAGCAATACCATATGAGAAGTCCAAGGCAGACACAGTTGTCCTGATTATTGCAACTTGCCTGCCTTCTGTGATAAACTCCATGGAGCATTTGGTGTCTTCTAGCTATTGAGCAAGCCAATTATATTACCGAAAATGAGAAGCACATAACATTTTCTATTAAAGGCAAGGTCACCTGATCTTCCATTCCAACAGCCTTGAGAGCTTGCCTTCCCCGATGAGAAAGGGCCAAATTAATGCTTCTGCCCCGAACGGCATTGGAACTACGGATATCTGAAAGGAAATGCAGTAACACATTGTAATAGGCGATAATCTGTTGTAATGGATTGCTACATTACTTTGGTTTCAAAAGTCCCTAGTGTTCTCAGATCACAATATTGTTTTGAGTGAGGTTAGAAAAGAGATTTTGCAGGGAGTTGGTGGGAGTATGACAATGGCAACTGTTCCAATTTGGCATGGACAAGTCCAATTAATCCTCTCTTGTCCCACTTTTGCAGCTGATTTTAAAATGTCAATCTCTCCAGAATTTCCTGTATTATTTTATTTTCCAATTTTGCAAGCTGGCCATTATGTGGGATGAAAGTAGTATGTGGAGAGGAAAATGAGTGAAACTGACTTTGACAGATCCATTCATTTTTCCTCATCTGATGGAGTCTACAAAGAGTCCTTCTCCTGAAAAAAGGAAGAACAGTGAGCATTTCTTAGTAATACCTCTAATGCAGTGGTTCTCAACCTTCCTCATGCTGCGACCCCTTAATACAGTTCCTCATGTGGTGGTGACCCCCAACCATAAAATTATTTTCCTTCCTACTTCATAACTGTCATTTTGCTGCTGTTATGAATCGTCATGTAAATATCTGATACACAGGGTGTATTTTCATTCACTGGACCAAATTTGGCACAAATACCCGATATGCCCAAATTTGAATACTGGTGGGGTTGGGGGGGTTGATTTTGTCATTTGGGAGTTGTAGTTGCTGGGATTTATAGTTCACCTACAATCAAAGAGCATTCTGAACTCCACCACAATGGAATTGAACCAAACTTGGCACACAGAACTCCCATGACCAACAGAAAATACTGGAATGGTTTGGTGGGCATTGACCTTGAGTTTTGGAGTTGTAGTTCACCTACATCCAGAGAGCACTGTGGACTCAAACAATGATGGATCTGGACCAAACTTGGCACGAATACTCAATATGCCCAAATGTGAACACTGGTGGAGTTTGGGGAAAATAGACCTTGACATTTGGGAGTTGTAGTTGCTGGGATTTATAGTTCACCTACAATCAAATAGCATTCTGAACTCCACCAATGATGGAATTGAACCAAACTTGGCACACAGAACTCCCGTGACCAACAGAAAATACTGGAAGGGTTTTGGTGGGCATTGACTTGAGTTTTGGAGTTGTCGTTTGCCTACATCCAGAGAGCACTGTGGACTCAAACAATGATGGATCTGGACTAAACTTGGCACGAATACTCAAGATGCCCAGACCTTGATATTTTGGGAGTTGTAGTTGCTGGGATTTATAGTTCACCTACAATCAAAGATCATTCTGAACCCCATCAATGACAGAATTGGGCCAAACTTCCCACATAGAACCCCCATGACCAACAGAAAATACTTTGTTTTCCGGTGGTCTTTAGTGACCCCTCTGACACTCCCTCGTGATGCCTCCAGGGGTCCCAACCCCCAGGTTGAGAACCACTGCTCTAATGGTTGATCTTTTTTTCCAGAGATAAGACAAGATCCCTTGCGAGAGTTTAATGAATAATCTAGCTTCCATCACTGTTGCTACACAGAGTAACACCAACACCACCAAAGGCTTATAAACCATGGATTGTACCTGATGAGTGGGCAAATGGAAAGTGACTCACACAATTTATCTTTCCCTCCCTCTGCAGATCCTTGTCTCCTCCTAACACACCCTTTTTGGATCAGGGGGCCCTCATGACCAGGGAAGGGGAAGACACGTTGCATTGCAAAGTCCCCCAGGTTCAAAACAGACTGTATATATAAAACAAAACTGTGGTAATAAATGAAAGCCTAATATATGATATATTAGGGGTGTGAAATTTTTCTGTTAGTCATTGTAAGTCATATCACATTTGTTAAATTCATACTTATGATGTGATATCCAACACTTGGGCATGGCCCGCGCCAGAAACTTAAGAATCGAAACTTACTCAATATTTTTCAATTTGAATTTTGTAAATCCCAGAAGTCTCATGAAGTCAGATTCATTTTTAGTGCAAGGAAGCAAAGCAAAGTCAAAAAGGCTGCCTTTCCTCTTTAAATTAATGGCCTCTCGCCATTAGGAGAAGGAAGCAGCAGAGAGAAAGCAGAGTTTGCTGGGGGGAATACTGAGAAAGCACAGAATTCTTGGAAATGTAGTTTGGGAATGCAAAGAGCCCTATGCCAGAGAATTCAAAAGGCCCTGCCCTAAACTACATTTCCCAGAATTCTGCTAAGCACCAGAGAGCCCCAACCAGGAGAAAGGTGATATTTGTCTCTCTGTAGCAGAAGACAGCCAGAGTTCCATTTATTTATTTATTTACTATATTTACATTTGGAATCTGCAAAGAAGAGGATTGACTGATGCTTCTAGTGAGTAAATCTCTGGGCTGGGCTGGGAAGAAATCCCTAAATGGAAGTTCTATTGGTTAATATTCATTCAATGAGATGGCTGTTATGGCTTTAAAAAATGTTTTTGCAAAACTTAAAAAAAACCCTAAAATCAGTAGATATATGAATATTTCTGAAAGATGGAGAGAATGATCCCGTTATCTTATATCATTGTATAGAAAATTCAAGGAGATGGCTCTTGTGGTTTTTTAAAAAACGTTGTTTATAAAAACTTTGAAAAGTCCCCAAAAATCCATGAATAAGTAAAACGTTCTGAAACTTGATGGGCTAACAGTGGTAAATGTGCTCTACCATTGTAGCTAGTTTCATCCCAATACATGTAAAAATTGATGGAGAAAGGAGCCCTTGAAATTTCCCCACTTGTGCAATTACTATAATGAGATAATAATGAAATTTCGTTATTCTCATTATGTAACAACTTTTTTTTACTAATGATCCTTTAATAATGAAATGACAGTGCCCCCTAATTTTGTAGTAACCTTTGAAACTTATTTTATTGATCGCATAGCCCTAATACATATCTACCGAACAGAATTTGCATGTATATACTCAGAGCAGGATTTTAATGACAGTTGGTTTTAGTTAAGAACAGGGGTCCTCAAACTGTTTAAAGAGAGGGCCAGGTCACAGACCTTCAAACTGTTGGGGGGCCGGATTAGAGTTTGAAAAATACATGAATGATTTCCTATGAACACTGCACATATCTTGTTTGTAGTGCAAAAATCACTTTAAAATAATACAATAATTAAAATGAAGAATAATTTTAACAAATATAAGCTTATTAGTATTTCAATGGGAAGTGTGGGCCCGCTTTTGGCTGATAAGATAAGATTGTTGTTGTTGTGTGCTTTCAGACTTAGGTTGACCCAGAGCGAGGGCCGGGTAAATGATCTTGGAGGGCCGTATTTGGCCCCTGGGCCTTAGTTTGAGGACCCCTGGTTAAGAATATTATCAAAATAGGCATACCTGGTCTGCTTTCATATAGTTCCACTACACAGCCTCTTTTTGCAAAGAAGCAAGCATTTAAAGAACCTACCTGCAAACAAAAGAATTAGGCAAAGTGTTTAAAATTATGAAGGTTTGGGGACACCACTTAATTCTGCAATATACAATGTGTCTAAAGGCTTTTCAAGAAGGGGCAGATCAAAAAATATCACCACACAGAAAGACTTCCATCCAAATATTTATCTAACCCTGAATGTAAACCAAACACCAGGACATTGGTTAAGAGGTGCCAAAGCAGTCTTTCTATACTTTTGAGAGATATGTAATGCAGGGAAAAGCAGGCTTTGCATCATTTTACCAAAGACTCATGGTTGTCACCCTCATGCACAGTCTCCCGTAACCAGTTCAGTCCACAATATCATAGCTCATTTTGTCAGAATCAATAATTATAAACTAGCAGCAATAGAAACCACAGTGTGTGCTTGACATGCATGCAGAAAAAAAATTCAAAACATAATTGTAATAATGTGTAACTGGAGCACATATACATTAAAGGGTTCAAAAGCATAGAGTTTTAGTCTTGTAGGGATATTGATACAATACATGTAAACTTAACATACAAAAAAGCTGGTTGTATCTAACTACAGAGATAGTTTAAATAAAAGTAATAATAAAACACTGCACAAAAACGTGTAGACCATCATTTTGGTGTCACCCCTCTGATGGTGTCAACCAGAGCAGATTACACCCCATCCTGTAAGTCCAGTGCTACACAAGCTGTTTGAAAAACAGTAATCTGACCTTTTAGCTCTGAAATCTATATAAATAAAAAATGTAATGTTCATTTGTGGGATTAACATAACTCAAAAACCACTGGACAAATTGACTCCAAATTTGGCCACAATACACCTACTAACCCAAGGAGTGACCATCATTAAAAAAATTGATTTTGTCATTTGGGAGTTGTAGTTGCTGAGATTTATAGTTAACCTACAATCAAAAAGCATTCTCAACTCAACCAATAATGGAATAGGACAACCCCCCACCACGAGAATAGGATAACCCCCCAGCACCATGTCCCAGAAGCACTTTATTAGAGTTAAGACTCTGCACATTGCACTTGCCCAGAATTCCAATATACCACCGTAACATCCAGCACTTTTTAACCTGTACCCATCATTGGCCCGGCCTGTTTTTAATGTGTAATAATGTAATGTTTTTGTCATTGCTTATGTTTTAATTTTTGCTTTGTATTGTATCGTTATTGTTTGCTGTTGTTACGTTGAGGCCTTGGCCTCTGTAAGCCACATCGAGTCCTTCGGGAGATGCTAGCAGGGTACAAATAAAGTTTAATAATTAATAATAATAATTGAACCAAATGTGGCACACGGGACTCCCATGACCAACAGAAAACACTAGAAGGGTTTGGTGGGCATTGACCTTGAGTTTAAGGGTTGTAGTTCACCTATATCCAGAGAGCACTGTGGACTCAAACAATGATGGATCTGGACCAAACTTGGCACAAATACTCAATATACTCAACAAATACGGTTGTGGCCCAACTTACCTGTCCGAACATGTCACCCCTTACAAACCATCGAGGACTCTAAGATCATCTGGGGAGGCCATGCTCTCGATCCCGTCTTTGTCTCAAGTACGTTTGGTGGGGACGAGAGACAGGACCTTCTCAGTGGTGGCCCCTCAGCTATGGAACACCCACCCTAGGGAGATTAGATCTGCTCCCTCCCTCTTAACGTTTCGGAGGCAAGTTAAAACATGGCTGTTCGAGCAAGCGTTAACAAATGCAGAGTAGCTAATATAGGAAATTGGACAATTTGACAATGGAACTGGAAAATGCTTGATAATAATGCTAATGATGTTGTTTTTATTGCTTTTATGGTGTTTTATAATGTTTGTTTTAATCTGTATTAAGTTTTTATATGTACTAATTTGTTGGAAACCACCTTGAGTCGCCAATTGGCTGAGAAAGACGGTATACAAATACAGTAAATAAATAAGAAATAAAATATGAACACATATGGAGTTTGAGGAAAATAGACCTTGACATTTGGGAGTTGTAGTTACTGGGATTTACAGTTCACCTACAATCAAAGAGCATTCTGAACCCCACAAACTACAGAATTGGGGCAAACTTCCCACACAGAATCCTCATGACCAACAGAAAATACTTAAGGCTATCCAGTCCAACTCCCTTTACCAGGGCAAGAAAACGTAATCAAAGCCCTCCTGACAAAGAGCCATCCAGCCATAGATATAGATAGATAGATATGATTCACACACAGATATATAGTATCACAGATTTGAAAGGGATCCCTAAAGAAGGACAATTGTATGTTGCATGTTCAAGAGTAGGCAAACCAGACAAAGAAGCAGCAAGAAATACCGTTTACCCAAAAGCATAAAGAAATTACATATACTAGAAACCAACACTTTCTCATTACTTTATTTTCCAGATCACCAGACTGGGCCACAGCAATGCGTGGCAAGGGACAGCTAGTTCTGTTATGAAGAGTAACATTATAATTGTACAAAGTCCAAGTTTCTTACCAATCCTCCTCCAATAATAGCTACTGTTTTCCTCTGTGTATCAGAAGGATCCATGACTAGGCTTCTGCTTACTCCAGGGACGAAGAGTCAGTCTACAGGTTTCCAGTAGCAAGTAGAAATCTGGACTCTCAATTCATTATCCTCACCGCCCTCCCTCTCAGGTTATTCATTAACTGGAATAACCCGAATAGCTGAAGCAACAATTTAATCTCTAATCAGTTTATAGGTGACGTGCTCCTCACAAGAGTCATGACAGGTGCTGATGACTGCTGGACTGACCACAGGCTGATCCGATCCACGATGGCTATCAAGATCGCCCCCAAGCACAGACTCCAAGGAAGAAAGACAAGGCGCAAAATG